GCGCGAGCGAGACTTCCTCCGCTCGCGGGACGCTGACCTGGAGCGCCGCCGCCGCCTCTCCCGGGACCGGGACCTGCAGGGACACAGGCACATCTCAGGCTCCTCAGCAACAAATACCCACAGCACCAGCGCAGCCTCCCCAGACACATCCCTGCCAACACCCAAGGCACATCACCCAAACCCCAGGCAGCTCCCTCCTCCTGGGCCTCCTGCTCCCAGTGGATAAGATGGTTTTCTGGGAAGCTGATATAAAGAGCTCCCACCATTACTGCAAGCATATGCCAATGGCCAGAGCAGAGCTCACAGCCCTCCCTCACTCAGTGAGGTCTGCAACAGTAGAAGAGAGGCCAAAGTAAGTGGCCTGTGAAACTCCCATAACCCTAAGCGAGTCTCTCTTGGTAAAGTCCTGCACTTGAGCAGCAGATTTGTTTCAACCCGCTCTAAAAACAAAAAGGATGCTAGAGGAAAGGACAGAGAGATCTCCAGGTCCATGATCACACCCAATGCTGTTATATACCATTAAGGCAAACTCTTCCCAGAGATGTCAGGGTTTGCATTTTGAATCCCTGTTTTCACATCTGATGTATTACATATGTAACAGAGATTTCAGATATTAAAACTATGTAAGTGAATCAGATATTCATGGAAAGAGGCATCAAGGGTATTCCTGGACTCTCACTCTGGGCACACAGCCCCTGTCCTGCCCAGCACCTGCCTTACAGCCCAACCAGTGACCCCCCACTGAGGTGCCCAAGCTGTAGTGCTCATTTCTTTCAGGGAGCAAAACAGAGACTGAGGCACTGAGTGAACTCCATTTGCAAGATCCAGGAAAAACTTCAGTAGCTAGAGAGAAACACAATCAGCCATTTGGGAGAACTGTAGAACTGGGCACTCACCTTCGGCGATCTCTGTTTCTTGATCCAGACCTAGAGAGAAGAGAGGTAAGTGAGAGAAGGTAAGATAGAGCAGTGGGTTTTCCACAGAAAAACTCATCCACCCTGGCAGCTTTTCACAAGACAACAATACTCCAAGTAGTGTGCCACTTAAAAAAAAAAGCTTGCCATTAAAACATTTAATTAGCTTCAGTCTGGGGGACAGGAGGGATAGCTTCTGCACACAGAGCTTCCTGTCACAACAGAAAAGGTCCAGAACCCAATCCTGTCTCTGCTGACGAAATACCACAATGAAGCTTTCTAAGTTTGCTGTGCACATCTGCTATACACTCTTTACCCCCTGCAGTGTAACATTTTCCACAAGTGCCACTTTCCAGACAGAAAGACACTTGCCAGTTTTCTGATTTTGGTTCCATTAAGGCAGTTGCACACTATAAAGGTTTTAATAAGGAGAAACTCATTCATTGTATTTGTTTAACAAATATTAGAAGGCAATTTACATCAATGTTTTATTTCCTTTTGGGAAAGATGGACCAGGAAAAAATAGAGGGGACACAGTCACAAGGGAAGAACTGCCAAGTGACTGAGATAAACTGAAAATCCTTCATTCCAGGCTTAGAGAGCCACTTGACAAGAATAATCCAAGCCTTGCTTTTCCTTCCTCACATTTCCATGGCTTCAGAGCTCGTGTGTGGCACTCTCAGCTTACTGCTGTCAGCATTAGCTTCTGACAGTCTGTAAATAACAATGCCACAGTTCTCTCAACTGCTGCAGCACCATTACTCAGCACCACTTAAAATACCACCACACATGGGAGATAGGCCCTCCCTCTTCCTGTAGCCACACTTCAGAGCTAGCTCACACCAAAATGTCACACTGAATGGTCTCACTGGGCTTTAACTGGGGAGTGGTTGCTCTCCCTGTTCGGTGATCAGAGACTCACTGCCAGAACTGCTCCCCACTGCACACAGACTCCCAGGGGATTTCCATTTACACACCACAGAGCTGTTCTGGCACTGTAACAGAAGATGTGGCTGAAAGTTACACACAGACAAAAATTTAAGAAGCAATAGAGAAGGATCTGTTTTAGTAACTTCATTTAAAGCCATACCTGGAAAAGACAGGATTAAGAAAAATCAATGTGCACTGACATTTCTTCACAATGAATTGGGATTGTTCAGTCATGGCAGAAAGCAAAAAAAAAACCCCAAAATTTAGAAAGGAATTTAGGTAGAAGGACTGTAAACAAGGTGGAGCTGAACTTGGGAGTCAGGCAAATGAACCACGTGCTGAGGCAACGCACATGACTGGGGAAGGAAAAGCTGACAAACCAGGAGAGCAAGGCAATAACCACACACTTCCCTTTCCACCTAACAGAACCTGATGGAGCAGCAGGACCTCCTGTAGATGCCTGGCAGGCAGCTGAAGTTTTCTGGTGGTTGTAATTACTCCAAGTTCTTAATGTTCTTCTCCTCCTGATTACTTTATTCTGAAGCACCGGTGCGCACATCCCCACACAGCCCTTCTCATCCCCTGGAGAGCCTGGCTGCCCTTCCACATCCCCTGGCTGCCCTTCCACATCCCCTGGCTGCCCTTCCACGCCTGTGATCTGGGCAGGAGTAGGCAGAGAAAACTCCTCATAATGACTCTCTACAGCCAGACTGCAGAATTCAGGAAGCATCCAATAAAACAGCACTTTCCTTACCTGCCTGAATCAGTACCCAGCAGGAGACAGTAGGACACTGCTGTCCAGAAGAGTGAGAGGCTGAGCAAGTCTATTTTATTTATTTTTACCCCTCTGCATCACAGAGAATTTCAGCTCAGTTTTATAACCTGTCTTTTGTCTGACTCAACACAAAGGAAATCCATTTGGCAACTCCACTAAACTTGTTTGCTGCTGTACTCTGGAAGCAAACACTAAGGTCTGCACTCCCAAGCATGCCACCTCTCCACAGAATTCCAGTCTGAAGACATTACTGGTCCCAACAGCCACATCAAACAAAGGACTTGTGCTTATTTACCACTAGGGGTGACGACGCAGTTCACTCATTCCTATGTGGAAATCACAGTGCAGCTGACAAATTAATAAGGGCTGTGAGAGTTTTACAAGGCAATTTACAGGTTTCCAGAGCATGTCACAATGCCTGTAAGTGACCAACAACTCTCAGAGTCAAGACATATTCTGCCTCTTGCTGAGTAACACCATGAAGATGCTATATATGAGGATATGACACAAAGAGCTACGAAGGAAACGTTTCCTGTGGTTCCGTAAAGGATCAAGCTCTGGATAAGAGAGGTTGCCTGAAAGGTGGTAGAAGTCACCAGCTAGTTTTTGATGGAGAAATGCTCCCGTTAGCATGGTGTGTACAGCTCTCAGCAAAAAAAAAAGCTGAGAAATCATCTGAGCTCTCTGACATTGGGAAAGCCATTTCATTTCTTAGGGTCAAGTTCTCATTTTGCAAAGACAAATGATTTGACCTCCTCTGTACAGCAGTCCTAGCTTCTTCATAACCAGTTTTTGTGTGGCATCTGAACAGAGCAGCACACAGGTGCCTCCACACACAGCCAGAGCAAAGGCCACCCACAGTCTCTAAGCAGTGTCACACCTCTCTGACATTGGGAAAGCCATTTCATTTCTTAGGGTCAAGTTCTCATTTTGCAAAGACAAATGATTTGACCTCCTCTGTACAGCAGTCCTAGCTTCTTCATAACCAGTTTTTGTGTGGCATCTGAACAGAGCAGCACACAGGTGCCTCCACACACAGCCAGAGCAAAGGCCACCCACAGTCTCTAAGCAGTGTCACACATGGAAACAGCAAGAACTTAAGACTTTAGGCCAACTTCATGCAGCTCTTAAACCCTTTGTGTTTACAGCCTTAATTAAACATTCAGAAGTGCTGTTCAAACCCCCTCAAGCAGATGCACCCACACACAGATTACCTGTGAACATGAGAGGCTTCTTAACTCTCCAGAACTGAAGGTTTGGGTTGTGTTTTTTTTAAAAAAAACCACAAAACCCAAACCCCAGACACACCAGAGGAGGAAGCAAAGCAGCATTCTGGGGAGACAGGGATCAGCTGGGAGATCCAGAGGATTGTTCCTGAAGGCAACTCTGTTGAGCCATTTTCACACACGAATGACCTCCAGGAAGAAGAGGCACCATGGGGCCAAAATGAGTCTAGGTGGGAGTGAAAGAGCCTCCACAAGGCAGCTGCATGGGAAGACATTCCTGTTTCACTCCCACCTCTCTGACCTCAGCAGCAGTGTGCTGTCACCACTGTCCCTTTTTCCATTAACTCCTGCACTCAGCAGCTGGTTCCAGATTCTGTAGCTCCCAAATTCCACTGCATTACTGACAGTCCTGCATGGACTCCAGAGACTTGTGAGGCTCTGCAGGAAGTGCTGCAGTTCAGC